GAATTTGTTAACTGTAAGAGATCTAATTGTCAATGATCTAATTATCAACGATCTAATTAATAATTTAGCTTCTTTTTTTTTTGTCAACTTTCTATAACTCGTTTAACAGGATAGTGGAGGCTTTCAAATGGTTTCTCTGTTAAAATTGGCGAAGATAACAGAACAAGGCGTAGAATTTCAATCACCACATGATGACGGAACAACAATGTTACTCACCCCAGAGCATTCTATATCTTTACAAAATTCTATCGGTGCTGATATTATAATGCAATTAGATGATGTAGTATCATCATTAGTAACTGGAAAAAGGGTTGAAGAAGCAATGTATAGATCAATAAGATGGTTAGATAGATGTATCAGTGCCCATAAAAAACCAGATAGCCAAAATTTATTTGCTATTATACAAGGCGGATTGGATGCTAATTTACGAAAGAAATGTGTCGAAGGTAAAAACAACGAATAGTGTTGTTATTTATTTAATTGGCTTAATTAACCGATCACAACATGATAAAAGAAATGGTATTACGTGATACACCCGGATACGCGATAGGTGGCTTAAGTGGTGGTGAAGAAAAAGATACTTTTTGGAAAATGTAGGTAATTAATTTTTCTCTTATCCTCCTTTACATAATTCGGTTTGTATTTTCCATTCCATGTCTTAACTTACGATAATCTAAATTAGAGTAACGCTATGTACTGATTTATTACCCAAGAACAAACCTATATATTGTATGGGTGTTGGCTATACTGAGGACCTTGTCGTTTGTTCTGCATTAGGTGTTGATATGTATGATTGTGTTTTTCCAACTCGTACTGCGGTAAACAATTTAAGTTATCTTTGATTTAGTTTATAAAATGATGACTTGTCATGTGCACTTTAATCCCAACACAGTTTTTCTACACTGTTAACAGAGATTCGGTAATGCTCTAACATCCAAGGGTTCATTAAACCTAAAATCAGCAAAATTTTCCAAAGATTTTCAACCTATTGAAAAAGATTGTGATTGTGTTGCTTGTAAATCATATACTCGGTCATATATTCATTTGCAAGCAACAAAGGAAACTGTTGGATGTCACTTGGTCACTATTCATAATATTGCATATCAACTAAGATTAATGAGAAATATTAGGCAGGCTATCATAGAGGATAAATTTCCATCGTTTGTAAAGCAAACCTTTAGAGATTTATTTGGTAGTGAAGAAAAATATCCCGTATGGGCCGTTAATGCTTTAAGGAGCGTTAACATCGATTTGTTATCTGAAAAATAATGTAAATAGATTGATTTACGTAATATGAAATTTGATACAATAATGTAAATAGATTGATTTACGTAATATGAAATTTGATACAAAAAGAATTTTAATTTATAATAAAATGATCCTATCCATTTGAAATTTACAATCAAAAACTTAGAATTAAAGATTACAGTATTATGTTTAACGGATAACTACTTATAAAATTAACATGACTTTCTCTATAAGAAAAGTATGACAATTTGACTTCAAATTTTTTATAAGGCCTTATAAAAAAAATTTGACTATTTCGAAAAATACTCATTTTTCCGGAACAGAACATAAATTCTGGTTATTGTCATAAGAAATCGATACTCGTTTCGTAGACACAGCACTTCTTTACCGACAATCAATTGACCGAAATATTCATTTCACCAAGCTTAGTCTTAGTTCACCGACATCTCATAACCTGCAATAATCTTAATATAATTCTACGGATCCTATCATTTTCTCAACAACCACTTTCTAGTCTAGTCCTAACGATTATAATTAATTTGTCGGTAAATTAATTAAGTGTCGGTGAAATGAACATGACGGTGAAGTGTTGTATCTACGAAATGAGCATCGGCGAAATAAGCGGGACCGACCTAATAGACCCATCATCTAAAAAAAAAATGCTAGCAAAGAAAACAACTGATAGACTGGACCAAATTCTTTTTTGCGTTCCAGTTTCCCGATTTCAAACCAACGAAGAGAAGCCTAAAAAGAAAATGCTAGCCCCAGTATACTAGAAAGAACGAAAGAACAAAAAAAAAAAAAAAAAAAAGTGTAGGTACTTATTTCAAAAATCCAGTTCCCAGCCCCATTTCGTGTTTCAAGAAAGAAAGCCAAGAGAATGAATGTTAACTCCGATAAACTAGAAAGAACGAAAAAAAAGAAAAAAAGGCCGGGTACTTATCTCAGAGGTTAACCCCGGCTCACGCTCCAAGAGAGAAAGACGAAGACCTAAAGAAGAGAATGTTAAAAAAAAAAAAGGCAGGTGCTTATCTCAAAGGCCAACTACCAGTCACATTCTAGTTTTCGATTTCAAATCACCGAAAAAAAAAACCTAAAGAAAGAAATTTCCGGCAACTACGAAGGAACAAAAAGAAAAAAAAAACATAGTTTGCTTGTACAAACTAAAATTATAGCAAAAAATAAAATTTGGATCCCAGCACACCTCTAACTAAGCCTAGTTGCTCGAATGAATTAGAATATTATGAATAATATTCTAGAAATTCAATTAAGGTACTTGGCGAGTATTGAACGCCCGCTGCTTAGGGCTAACTTACTAGGGCCACCGCCAATACCCTCCGAACTATGTTGGAACAAATATAATTTTAAAATTATGTAACCCCTTAAAACCAACATTGGTGTTACCAATTTGTGTTACCAAACTATCCAATTAAATTTGTATGTCTCATTTTATTAAATAAATGAGATATATTCCACGGCTCCTAATGTTCTCCCGTGAACATTTCTGATGATATTTTTATGATGATGTAATATACAAAAATTTTTGCAATTCTTGAATGTGTGCCAGGTTGGTGGCGTACAAGCCACAGTAGTACCGATCAGTCCGATCACTATCTCCGGTC